TGTCTCCGACTCAGTCTTAGTTTTAATTTATCATCTATGCCATTTTCGCTTACCGTTGAAAAACTTTTTAAACTGAGAATAAAAATGTTATACGCATTAATAGTAACCATACGCATACATTTTAACATAACAAATAGCATCATCTTTTGCTTCCATATAGATATATTATGCCATTTTGTATAATATCTATAAGATATATATCAAAGTCTGCGTAAGTTCATAATAATGTCAAACAAAAGAATAAAAGAATATTAATAACTAATTCTATTAATAGATTTATATGGAACACAACTATGGTTGCCATCTATCTTTCTTCTGAAGACTTTTTGAATCTGCTTTTGAATCTCCGGAAATAGAAATTTCTGACTAATCTATTTTAAATTTTGTAGTTTTTTTATGAGAGAGAGAGAGAGAGAGAGAGAGAGAGAGAGAGAGAGAGATCATCTTCGCGGAATTAAATACTCTCGATGCTGACTCATTAAGCATTCATTATACATACTTGTAGAGGGGAGGTTGTCACCTGGCCAGGTGTGCATACCACGTGAACGAGATGCAATCGTTGCGACAAAGAAATAATGATTTTCTTCGTTTTGCTTGGCATTTTGCTTTACGTCCTCACAACCGGAAACGATGTTATCAGGCATTACTCGTTGCAAATTCGTTGTGTAGGTGGACAATATGTAGCAACAGATATTTGTGACAAATTCTACATTATTACATGCGAATAATAAGAGACTTAATTTTAACCTTTTTAATTCGAAACTTTAATTTTGTGTTAGATTAAAATATTATTTTTAGGATTGCTAATATATAAACATCGACAATTTATCATAATTAATTATTATATATTAATGATTAATAAATAGATTAATTAAAAAATTGCAATTTAACCGACCGTTTAAACGTTTTTCCTTGTCCTATGATGAAAAACGTAAGAGTTAGCTATAAATAAGCAGTCGAATATCAATGCGTAGATCGTTAATCTCAATGAATCAGAAGGTTAATTCATTCATCCTTCACAGTCTCTCTTAATTAGAACTTACCACGAACGAATCTATAAATATCACGACGAGGGTTGGATTAAATTTTAAACTTTTCTATTTGTTTTTTTATCATATAAACTTTCTTTTTGTATTTAAAATATCCATTTAAATATTCACATTTTTAGGTACTTGCAAATAGAAAGATAAAGTTTAAGATATTAATTAGATTTAATTTTTCTATTGAATTAAATTACAATTGGGTCATTATTTTATCATCGACAGAAAAATGCGAAACGGAAACCACGAATGGAAGTGGTTAATGCCGCAATGCGCGCAGAAAGTTTGCCGACATGCAAGTGTTTCCCTGAATATCAATCATTTTCTCGGGGTTTTGTACATAAAACTATTCTCCGGACATGTGTCCCTCAAACGAAAAGAAAGACATTTCAGCATTTGTCAGTATTATTATTTCCGCATTACTCTTAATTTTACTACAGCTTTCAACACATTAAGCACTAGAAAAATCCATCATTGTAATATTAAATTTAGTTATATGCTGCTGCCAATAAAATTCTGTATTTTTATAAAAATTAAAAAAAATCTATCTTTATGTAATTATGATAAATATGATTTCTTGACATAAAAAGATTGGACAAAGAAATTCGTGTATGTTCTAAATGATATCCAAAGGGGTTTCCATATGACGCAACATGGTGCTTGGCACGTGCGTGAAGCACAAGGCATGAGTCACTCGTGTCCTGTGTTCTGTATGCTTGTAAAAAACAAAGAGGGAGAGAAACGTACGGTTCTCCTAATTTCATCACTTTAATTCCGTTTCTTGAATACCAATAGCTTTTGACAATTGTGAAATCCGATTGCATCCAAAGTATCGACGTTTCGCTTCGTATATTTAGAGTCGTCCACGTTACCATGAACAATGAAGAGTGACAGCGAATATGATGCGAGTCATGCCGATCATGCGAATGCATCGAACGCGTGCGTGCGTGCGTGCGAACAAAAGAGTTGAAAGACGCGGATACGAGGCGTGATGTGCCACTAGAGGATGACGAAAAAATGGCGACGTCGTCGTCGTCGTGTCGTCGAGGAACACGCGCGTGCATAATTTACGCGCAACAATTTTCGTCCGTGTAATTTATGATTTGACGAGTTGATCCTTTCGTCTTTAGATGAACGGTGAATTTTATCTTGTATATTTTGCTTAGATTAGGATATTGATTTATCGATAATCCTATAATCTATGATATGATGAGTAAGCAAGTAATTGGACTGATAAAAAAGTCACAGCAATGTTCAATGATAATAAAATGTTTGAATTAATCTATAAAAAAAATAATATATATATATATATATATATAAATGGATACCGACATATTTAATTCTATATTATACACGATCTATATCAAAATCTCTAAAGTGCTTATTTTTTAACTTTCTTCAGAACTTGAGATTCTATCTTCTTAATTAAATCTTCTTAATTAAAATCAGATTTGATTTGGTTTTACTTGGAAATTTTCAACATTTGGATTAATCTCGATAAAAAACTGCCACTAAATATAAAATGGCGAGTGTTTCATCGCCACGGAAATCAATCTGTTTCCGAGATGGAATTCTTTCTAGCGACTTTCTCACACTCGCCGGTTTTAACGTGACCGCATTCCGCGAGGAATCCGCCTCTCCGCCTATCAGACGCACGCAATACTCGGTTGAAATGCGAAAATGGCGAGAGATTTCGCGAGCGGCGATCGCGTGAACCGATTTTGTCAGGGCTCGGAAATCTTAAAATCTCGGACTTCGGAGTAACGCGTGACTTGTCTAGGAATACAATGATTAAGGACCCGAAGATTATAGGAATCCAGGATGCGATTAACGGTTACCAGAGGCCCTTGCACTTCTCGGCTCGACACGTCATGAGGAATGAGCGATATTAACGTTTATATACTTATATGTACAGGACGCGCGCGCGCGCGCCCGGTTCCTCTTGCTCGTTTCCTTCTGCATCGTGACTCACGCGCGCGTCTCAAGATCTCCTCTGGCAGACTTTATAGTGCTGGAAGAACCGTAATCCATAAATCCGCGCCGGTAGAATCTACGAACACGACGGCTTACGTCGTTAAAGCCGCGAGGGATCGCAAGGTGCTGAAAATAGTCCGCCAAGTAGTGATATACAGACTTAAAACTTTTTATTTTATATTCTTTTAAATTACATAATAAAATACTTGAGGCGCAAAGGAACAAAAAGTTGAATTTTCACGAATCTCGAATGCATCGTGTTTTGAACAAAATTTTTTGGGAAATTTTTGGGGAAAATTTTCAGATAAGAAATTGATATGTCATGACGTGTCGAGCCGAGGAGTGCAAGGGCCTCTGATAACCGTTAACCGCATCCTGGATTCCTATAATCTTCGGGCCCTTAATCATTGTATTCCTAGAGAAATCACGCGTTACTCCAAAGTCCGAGATTTTAAGATTCCCCCCGAGCCCTGACAAAATCGATTCACGCGATTACCGCTCGCGAAATCTCGCGTTTCCATTTCAACCGAGTATTGCGTCTGATTTAGAAATTGATTTAATAAAGAAATGTCTAATTTTAAAAGTTTTCTTGTCTGATTTTAAATTGATGAAGGAATTCGTAGGCTTTTCAGGCTGTATTACATTTAAAATCTAAACTACGTGCGCATTCTTTCATTCTTATTTTCTTTGATTATATTATTGCTGTCGAGTATACGGATAACGTTTTTTTATTAAGTCAAAATCGTCTCAAAGAGGCTAGGAAAAAATATCAGATTAAGTTACCGGCGGATCAAAGGAGGTTCATGAAGAGAAGAGGCAAGAAAAGGTCAGATAGGGATGTTCAGTAGAGAGGAAGAGAAAGGACATGAGGAAGAAGGGGAGCAAAGGCCGGAGGAGGGATATTCGCAACAGCCACCAGCTCAGTATGGTTCTACTCTTCGTCAGGTGTGTTTCGTAAATGACTATGTATAGATCGTGAATCATATTTATTGAGAAGTGATCGGAAATCTCGGAAATCGTAACGATTGAAGAAAAAGACCCTCGAGTTTCGATTTAAAATAACGTTATTGAGAATCGGCCTTTCAGATCGGGGATGTAAATTGATATCGATACGTGACTATATAGAATCGTGATCGCATGATCGTATCGACGATCCTTTCGAGCGTGACGGGTTTCCATTCGCGCCGACGACATTCGCACGACGGACGGCATGTCGATCTGAAGGTGAGTCGACATTCAGCGGGAGCCAAGAGATTTCAACCCTCTTCGGTCGCATGTCTCCCGTTCACCTAGACTTGAAAATACGGTATCGAGAAAGAAAGCTAATGATATTATGGATCAATGATTGGATACGTTTAATGTCTGACGTCCGCGTAATCGAATACGTAGCGTAAGTAGGTGGATTATTTTGAAACCGGTTGACAGATTTGGCGCATAAAAAGAAAGCGATTTATACGGGAGTCAAGATTCTGTTTGCCATATGATCACGAAATTTTGCAGGCATTACTTATAAATTTATTTATTACATTTATTTATTGTGGAAAGGAAAAAATTTAAAAGTTTAACGCAAGAAAAAAAATTAAATGTTTAAAAAATCAAGCATGAAAAAAATGTATTCTTTTATTTCTATAAAATTTTAGATCTTATATCAATAATTTTACCATTTTTTTAGAAATTAATTACGTACATATTACCTAACGTCCACTGGAGCTAAAAAATTTGTAATAGAAAGCCGTGATTAATTTTAATTTTTTTTAAAGTTAGAGTCTTGATATTGAGAAAACATTATTCTGGCGAGAAAACAAATTCTATTGCAATAGTATGACTAATCTCGAAGTTCGAAGAGTCAATAATATGCGAACTGGTCAACGACAGGTAGTCGAAACGTGCTCGAGACTCTTTTAAGAGCGGCTTCTGAGAGCTCTTTAATTTAACTCGTCGTTTTTTCCGCTTATCGACCGATAAAGACGTGCCGAACGTGTACATTAATAGATAATTGATTAGTGGACAATGCTCAGTCGCGCGTGATTAATTCCATCGAGCGTCTGAAATGATTCGGACGCTTTGCTTGTGTTTTAATGGCAGTATCACCGATCGGATAATTGCTCTCGTTTAGCATTAATTTCGTTCATGATTAACTCCGCTGGTGTAAGAAACGGGTAATTCGTGCGTCGCGCTTTTATTGCTGCGAAAGCGGGCATCGTGAAAAAATCGCGACGATGAGGAGAGGAGGGAGAGGGGGGTCTCTTCAACGTCGACCGTGTTATCTTTCCTTTGATGAGCACATAGAAACATGCGCTATTATAATACAATATTATATAAAGTGTTTCTCGAGACGCACAACCATGCGAGTCTTCTGTTCGCGTGCAGCGTGCCAGAGACGACCTTAACAGTTTAATTAAAAATAGCCAATGGACTGAGAGAGGCGCCGACAATAAAGCTTCGTTAAATAAGGGTTGCGCGGCATTTAAAACCCACGGAATAATTATCACGGGTCGGTAATCGCGCCCGCGATCTAACGAATAGCCGTCGCGTAATTAATGAAGCCGCGTTAAGACCGCGCGTTTCTCTTTCTCTCTCTATCCCTCTGTTGTCGCGCGCCTCGCTCCTAATTGATTCCTCGACATTCTTCGCGCTGTAATTGCGTGATTCGTTATGCAATCCCATTTCGTTCGCGCACGTCCAGCGATAGTGTATACATGTATACGAATCGATGAATCGAAACTATCGCGACCATCGCAATCGCCCGACACATCCGGCCAATTTGCTCCTCGTCCAGATGCACCACGGACACTCATTTAAAAAGATTACCGGGGGATCAATGAACATATTAGTATAACGCGATATATATCTAAAGAGAAGAGTGTTTGCAGAGGAGAGGAATTTGTTGTCGATATTTCTAGAGATATTAGAAAAGGAAAATTAATTTCTAATACCTATTAAATATAATTGATACTATGAATAATAATTATAATGAATAATAATTAATAAAATCTTCTTTGTAATATTTTTGTTATAAAATAAAATTTCAAAGTTCTGGAAATGTTAAACTTCCAACTCGCGACTTACAATTTTCGAAACGAACGAATACATTATGCATTCTCGATATAAATGAAGTGAGTATGTAGATCGATTCTCGTTCATCGACTTTGTCCACGTTGCAATAGGAAGCGGAGTGAGGACACGCTCGCGATCTGACCGTTAGTCAGATTGTTGCATTGTTATGCGACATGACGTGGGGTACGATTGCGCGCGTGTTTTGCCTCGTTAAAAACAATTAAAAGCGGTTCACGACTTAATTGGTGCAGCTGCCAAAGACGCGTCCGTTTAATCGACATTTATTAAAGAAATACTTGCGCGTGCGGTTTAACGAGCAAGCGTTTTATTCTCGTGGGAGACGTACCGTGAAAATGCACGTAGAAGATGCCCAAGGGGAAATAACATCCTGAGATATATATGCAGAAAATGAGAAATGAAGCTTCCAAGACAGGAATTTATGTATCGCTATGGTATCGTATGGTAAAGTTGTGCATACATAACGACAGGCCTTCTAGAAACGAATGATGTTTAGCAAAGACTCGATCATTTTTAAGGAGTTCAGAGTGCAAGTGAAATAAGTCCGTCAGGTTCGTTTTCTCGAATACAACTTCGTACTGAAAGCGAAGCTTATAAATTACGAATCCGCCGATGCCGATGCCGTAAACCTTGCATTTATCGCACATGCTTCTCTCGTACACTAACGATCTCGCCTTTCCCTTCTTTTCCGCTAACTTATTCTTAAGTGACAGACTTTTGTATCCTTTCATGCGATGTACCATAATGAGAAGCTCTTAAGCTCGGGATCGCATGGAGAAAGAGGAATAATGGCGTTTCCGCCGTTCATCGTGTTTTTAAAAAAAAATCTCACGATGCCTACGAGAGGTTAACGGGCTTTTACCGTTTCTTTACGAAGTGCCGGGTTTTCGGTAATGAGAACATGTTATGCAAATCGACAAGATATTGTAACTGTCGCGCAAGCGGTACGCAAACACGCGTCGTCCTTCATTTCCGGCTCACATTGCTCCGCGGAGAAACGAGTTCTATCGCACCAACACCATATAATTCCTCCGTTAATTTGCCATTTTCTTTGTAGCTTGTGGGATACGCGAAAAAGCTTTGCGTTATATTTGTCGAATGAATCTTTTCGTAAAATTGTAGAGTTTCTCTCTCTCTCTCACACACACACACACACACACACACACACACACACACACACACACGAAAAAATTCTTATATTACAATTCTTTTTGAATGGAAAAGAAATGTATTTAAATTATATTGATATTATTGATATTATTGAATATAGCTATTAAGATATACCCATTTTTATATGATTTTTACAACCGTAGTCCTTATAAGTAATATTTGTTTAAAATACTCTTATATTATAGTTACTTTAATCGAAGAATTATTATTTCTGTCTAATGTGATCTACAGAACAAATAGTATGAATAAAAAATCAGGATATATTTGCGCAGCATAGCACTGAGGATTCAGTTTTATTGTAAAATGTAAAATAGATAACATTACTACCATAAAGAATCTTCATATATAATAAAGTATTATATTATATAATAATATGTTATATTATGATGCTTGTTATGTATATATGTGCATATTATTGTTGATAAGATTATGAATAATTATAGATAAAACTTGCAAAGCTTTATCTTTAAAATATAAGATTTGAGGACTCCGTTCCTTATTTTTAAAGATAATAGAATAAAACATTCAAAATAATTTTTAGGTTACATTTTCAGGTTACTATAGTTACAGAAATTGTAGCTAGAAATAATCATTACGATTGTAACAGTCATGCTATTCACTATGATTGAGGCAACCATATAAATCACTTTCAGAGTACTATGATCCTGTAACTCATTTATATGGATAGACGAAAAATAATCTTCATGTCTACGTTATTTATATTTGTTTAATTCTAAGATATCTGGAGATTCTCTCTTGCGAGTTTCCAAGCGATTCTCCATTGATAGGGCGACTGATCCATTGATATCCAATATATCATATGCAATACATATCGTAACTCGAATTCCATATCCGATGGTAAAAATTCTTGTACACCGCGATAGCTCGTGTTAATCAGTCACGATTCTCAATTTCGCTTTAGTGGCAAAGCTTTTCTTGTTTGAGATGCGCCATATATGTATTATATACAGATGCGCCAATCGTTAGATCGCTCCAATTGTTTTCTAGACCAGATAAAATGGATTACTTCGTAGATCTGTACTCCCGTATAATGCAACAAATATCTAGACAATATATCAAGAGTTCACCTCACCGAGTCCTAACGCAATGGTATCTTTCATTTCTTCCTTTTCTTCTCGCGAATAGATATTTCGCGTTTACGTTTGAACGTGCATCTCGTTTCTTATCTTTATAGCGCAACGGATTTATTCAACTTATAGTTACAGATGGAGAGATTGAGTTAGCTTTAAAACAAGTAAAGAAATATTACAATGACCGTGAAAAATTTAAATCTTTATCTCTAAACAAATAATGTCGAGAATGATAATTAAGCACACTTTTTTACTCAGCCACTATCATTTAAAGATTCATCAGAAATTCTCGAACCATTTGTGGGTGGGACATGGAATTGATTCAATCGGAAATTCAGATTATTCTCTTAATAAATCGGGGGAATGCCGCGCGAATTCCGATCAGGATTCCACTTTCCGCAAGGAATCTCTCTCATATCTCACTATTTTCTCGTTGCGCCATTGGATAAGGAAATGAGTATGAGCGCCTTGCGCTCATAAATAAAGCATAACCGAGTACGAGCGCAGCAAACGTGGGCGAGCACTCTTTGTGCGCGCGACGTATGCGCGATTTGTTGTTGCAAGAGAGTAGAAAAGCAAGCGAGGGAGCCACAAGGACTTACCTATCCGTCGTGTATTCTCATTTTGAGACGCGTAGGCGTGCGTAGGTATTCAAAGAGAGAGATCCTGAAGGGAGATCATCAGGAAAGCACGAAGATAAAGAACGATACCCACGGAGTTCCTGATAATTGCTACACTTATTAACTTCGTCATTTATTATTTATAATTAATTCGCCATTTCGCGCCATTTATCTGTATCAATTTTTCTATTCAGCTTCCTTTATTATATTTCTTAGCTTTTAGTCGATTCGTTATTTCTCATATCGATTTATCGATTTATCGATTTATATTTGATGTAATTTAATATTTATTATTTTACGATGTGTATGTGCGCGCGCGCGCGCGCGCGCGCGCGTGTGTTGCAATATTTATTTAGTAGAGTGTGCTTATTCGGTTTTCACTAATTTGTTCACTACATCAGTCTCGACAAATGTCATGTATACGTGTAAATTGACAAAATCCAAGTCAACTGATATTACTTAAGCTTGCAAACAACACGTTCGCGTATCGATTTGTTCGTGCAGTGTAAACAAGGATGCAATTTGCAATATCACTGCGACTTAATTTTAATTCCCACGCGACAAAATATTTATCGATAGATTACAAAACGCTTTCAGTACCAAAAACTTTTCACAATTAACTTAATAAACTTTTAACTTTTTTATTTCACAATTTTATTTATTATATGCAAATGAACTTTGTCATTTATGTCATGTTAGGCAATGTTATATCTACGATATAATGGCAAATTTTTTCTGAGTAAATAATTCTCTCCGCAGCTCTCATCATGTCGCATTTGTGTCGCATTGTTTAATGATATTTTTAACCCGCACGTACACGCGAGAAGCGGACTGTCCGTGGGGAGTTACAATTGTTGGTACATTGTTACACGCGTAACAGGGTAGCATGCGCGCAGCAGGTTTTTTGCAAAATGCATAGCTCGCGGGAAAGCTCGAAAATTCCTACATCCCTGATGACATTAATTTATCGCCGCGCGCTATTTGCGCAACGCTTTAACGCAACAACGGCGACGGTAATGGCTTTATAATGGCAACGAAATCATTCGCACACGCTATCGAGTTCAAGGCCGCTTCAGGATCTTACCGTCGCGCATTCAATACACTGCACTGCGCTAAGTATCTCTCGCAAAAAACGAGAGATTTCGTTTCGTCTCGTGTATCTGCGTTTTATCACTCGTGAACAAGGAGAAGATCTGAATTATTCACCGAGACTCAGAATTAAGACATTATTAAATAAAAATATTGATATAACGTTATTATAATTTTTTCACTTCATATTTTTAACACCAATAATCAGTGCTTTAATGATAAATTTATCTCTACTTCAATAATAATTTTTTTAATTATTTTTAATTATATAGCTTGTAATTTAATATTTTAATATTTTTTTTCATTATTAAAACATTCGTCGAAACGTTACTCGTGAAATTATATATAAATGTGATCATTTAGGCATTTTTTTAGAAATCTAAATTTCACTAGGTCTCGTACTAGTTAAATATCTTAGTTAAATATCTTATGTCTTAAATATCTTATCTCTTTTCATATTGAGTACAAAGCAAATCAACGTGCTAAATATTTTATCACAAGTGATAAATTATAAATTTCCAGCATTCTAACGTAACATCATCGTTGAGCTCCAATGTTATTCCTCAGCAAGCATTCGTTTGTGAGCGATCATCATTCGTCTCGCTTGCACAACATGCTGTAAAGATAAACAGTAGATGAAATTTGAATTAAGAATTAAGGGGTAATCTGGTAGCAGGCAGATGAAAAAAGAGGAAAGGGAAAAGAGGAGCGAGCCCGGATCGAGGAGCCTGCATCGATTATGGTGTAACGTCAAGGTAACGTCGCAATTTTTCCGGCGCGCGGCGCGAAAAGTCGCCGTGGGCAATACACGCGAGCCAATATGGATATCTGTGCACTCGTGCGTGTCCGATAAGCCCGTATCACATTACTGACTTTTGACTCTGATTCGACTATCGACTTGGACTCCCGCTATTATTCAAGCAATCATAGCAAAGCATTACCGACTCTGACTGCCGACTCAAGAATAGAAATCATTCTATTTATCAGCAGAGTCAGAGTCAGAATCGAGTCAGAGTCGGGAGTCAATAGTGTAATACGGGCTTTACGCACATGTGTACGCGCTTCGCACGATAAGCTCCGACGATGCGACGCGACGCGATGCGACGCGCGACGAAACGCGCTGCTCCTGCTGCTTATGTTCGCCTGTTAGAGTCGCGATCAAGACGTTTGCGCAAATCGCGTAACGCGGACGCGCATACGCGCTCTCCACGCACGCCACCAACACGACGTCGCGTCGCGTCGCGTCGCGTCACGTCACGTCACGTCACGTCACGTCATCTGCCTCCTCGCACGGAGGTCCAATAATGAGCGCAACCGTGATGAGCCGACGCGTGAAAGCAAGGATAGGTTTTTTTCCTTCCCGGCGTTGACGTCGAACTGAAATCGAGAGTCGCTAGTTTGCCAATCTATGGAAAACGTAAATTTGATTTTAATTGAATTCTATTTGAAGAGAAAATTGTGCGTAGAATACGGCGGATGTTGAAATCTTATCGTATGTAGTGTTAATAATAACAATAAAGTATTCGCCTTGTCAGACATATATATAAAAAATAAGTATAGATCTGGATAGTGCAGTTTCATAAATAAAAATTTGCAAATAGAAATAAGTGACTCGTGGTAGCAATATTTTTAAATATAGATTTACGCGCGCTGATAAATTTGCGGCGATAGTCGGGAGGTCCGATCGCACGACGGACGATAGAGAGAAATGAGAGAAATGGGGCTAATGGGAGATCGATGTTTTACCGCGACGATCAATTTCGGATTTGATAGCTCAGGATGGCATGTAAAATGCGTGACAAATACATGGAGTAAAGAAGTAAACGATTGCGCATCGCGAACGATTGTAATTATTAATGTGCAGACTTAGAACGATTTGGAATTCTGTGGGATTTACTAAACCAGATTTACGCTAGATGCTTCTGGATCGCGAGGCTTTTCCCTCGGAGATGCGTTCTAATTCTCGCGTTTGTCTCGGACTCCTGAATAAGAGATCGCTTGACGGTGTTAAGGAACATTATAACGATTTACGCGTTCACGCTTCCCGAATGAGAGCTCTCGGATTATAGAAAAGGAAATTATCCTAACGGTCCTGAAATTCGTCTTAGTGACGGACGTCGCGAGTGCAGTTCCGTTTCTGATATGATTTGCGGTAACATAAGAGGAACTTGCCCAAACAGAACTGTCCTCAATCGAATCATGTATGTAGCGCAATGAATGTCAAATTGACTTTCAGGTCTATTTATTACAAAACATATCACGTCTCAAGACTGGTTTCAGTTGAGTGAAACTTGAACGGAAACGCGATCGTACATACGAGCCTAAGAATGCTGCCTCTATGATCGATAAGAGTAGTCGAGAGAGTTTCTGACTTCTCTCGATGTTGGTTAGTATGCTGATCATTCGCGCGTACCGTTAGCTCCTCGTTTTAGCCTTATCAAGATTTATGCTCCTCGTACCATTACGTCGCGATGCGTCGCGATGCGCCAAAACTCCCCATATCCGCTCGTTCGGTAATCCTCTCGCTTGGCGAGAGCGAGAAGATGCTCGGTAATCGTGCAGCGCGAACGACCGACGAAATCAAAAGTAAATCGAGCCGGAAAGTGCGTTCGTTAATTGCCCACAATTGGCAAAAGTGTCGTCGCGCGCAAGCAAAATTTTTTATTTGGGTTTTAGGAAATATGTTAATTTTAATTTAATCGCTGAAAGCAATTCTCTTTTTAATTTTAATTAATAAACTTAGATCGTATCTTGAAATAACAGATTGATTTTTCAACTACAGAAAAATGTCGGTTAATTAGCTTAATAATCCAAAATCACGTTTGCGTGTCATGTAGTTACGAGTGTAATTAGGCGAGAGTATGGTGTCGAGAGTGAGTCTGTTTTGTTGATTGTGATGCGATGAACACAATATGTATCTTGATCTAATTTATTCTATCCTGCAAACAGAGAAAATCTTTTTCAACAGAGCGGAATACACTATTATAATAACATGCAATTATGTACATGGTGAGATCACGTTTGCTCTTTTGTTCGTGTTGTTATTGTTTTTGATGAGGTAGAGAGAATTCAAGGGTTAACTGTGAACCTGACTATTCGACTTTCTGATTATGTAAACCGCGATACAATCCACAAGTTCCTTCCCCGACGATGGGCCAGCGAGATCATTCTTTCGTCTCATCTTGCGTTCTTTCCGCGAAGAGCTATAAAGTTAGTTGTAAACAACGTATAAGATGACTATCGATGTTGGAATTTCACTACGGGGCAAAAACCGCGAGTATAGTCGCTGCATTTTTATCGCGCGAAGAAGGAAAACTATCGAATGTATTTGCTGTGTATAGTCATTGCCCTCGCGCGATATTTCCATTATGCGATGTAATGAGCCATAAAAAACATAAAAAGAAAACAATATCATTAATTTGCATTTTCAGAAATACTGAATAAAACTTTCAATTAATTTCAGAAAATATCATGATAGTATTCTACGAGTATAAAAAAATTGCGAAAAGAAAATGTAATCTATTCCGTGATTAAATTTATACAGTTGTATTATATACCATCGCGTTAAATGCATATTTTCTGCTTTCGTAAGAAAAAATAAACGCTCCTTGTTTCCTCCCGCTTTTAATCATATCGAATGACTCAACATTTATCTGAACTTGCCATGGTTTTACATGTAACTTATCCACTTATCCAACTCCATTAAATTATTACGCGATTCAATATCGGCACATTAATTATTTATCTAAAAAAAACAAAGTATATTTGTATCTTTGACTGTGAATAAAAAGTATAGCGGCGTATCTTATCGTTTGAAAATACGTTCCTTGATATCTAGGTCAAGGAACAAATTTTTACCAATGAATTTAAACACTTGTACATTTTAATTACATATACACGTACAATACAGCGACAGAAAATTTATATATCAGATAAGACCCGATACTACGTATACATATGTATACATACGTATACGAACCGCGAAACACGTTTCGGTTACATGCTACGTACACTTTTTCTCGTCCAGTTCCATCGCTTAAGTCTCACAATCAGATGACCGTTTCTCGCGTGCGGCATGCGAGCCGAGTGTATCTCGAGACTGCGCCGCGCGTATCAGCAGCGCGGGACGGCCGCGGCGCACATGCCACGTGCATACATTCTGCTCTCCGGATAGACGCGTGGTCTGTACCGGACGTGGTACGTGTTTCCATTATTCCGGCGTGTCTCTCACCTCACGCCGTGCCGTCGACTTTGCTGTCGATGATGCGGCGGCGTGGCACACGCGCATGTCCCGAGCCCGAGGGCGCGAATTAGAGCGAACCTACGTTTTTCCGGCAGGAGTGAACATATATATATATATATATATATATATATATATATATATTTTGAATCGTAATATTTATCTCGAGTTCCCATCTCGCAGAAAGAAATTCGAATGATTTCCAGTCGTAGTTCGCAATTCGCTCCTCTCACGTGATCATAGGCGCATCGGAAGTTTTTAAAAACTCCCGAATAAATTAATCATAGGATTTAACTAAAGGAAAATCTATTAACTAATCTATCTATTAAAAAGAATTTTATTTTTCATGAAATGTATATTATATTTTATAAAGCAGTAAAATAGTTACACATATACATGATTAGGGATACCGAGGATGAAAGAATTAACATAATTTCCTTTTTATTTTATTGTTCTCTCTTGAAGCATTATAAAAGTATCTTGCGTGACGATGTAATTAAAATATAGCCAATCGTCAATCATCGAAAGCAGATTACTTATTTAATTATTTAATTATTCAGTTCAGTTAATCAGTCAGTTCAGTTCAGTTCAGTTCAATTCAGTGCAATTGCAGAAAATTACGACGTACTTAATTTAAGAACAAAGAGAGGATTAATCGGGCATCGAGAAAGCGATACAAAACAGGCGTAATAGCCGAAGTGGAAAAGCGCGAATTTACACGGTTCAGACTTGACAGATTCGTGCGCCGCATAGATACGTTTAGACGAGCGAGGCTTTTTTTATTTAAGTATCACAAGCTACACAGAAGCTGTAGAGAAACAAAAATCGAAAGAGCGAAAGCAAATCTGCAACAAAAATAAATATCGCCGGACTAATGGGTGAAGTCGAACGAGTTTTCGTTCAGCGGTAAACTGTCCGACGTAATCTATGAAAAATCGCGAAAGCGGTATTACGAGTCTCCCGTGTTTGAGAACTACAATTACCCACAATACCAATCTGTATATAATAACATATTATAAGCTATTCCATATAACGTTCGTACGGGGTGTCCTATGGCACGCCGCCGGAATCAAATTTTAATGGCAGATCCCTCGGCGGATGAGATTGCGAGTTGATCTTTTTCCCGGCTCGGGAAATTTTATCGAATCGTTTTTTGCGCGAGCGTTATCCGATTCGCTTTTCTTTTACCACGGACGATTCGCCGATCGAGAACCAGAGTGAGAAGCGTGCAAATCCGCCATAATAGGCCCGCGATGTGCTCGTGAACCTGACCGCCTCGAATCAGCTGGATATCAATTAAGTAATTTGTTGGAACTCGCGCGAGCCCAGCTGCGTGCCGATGATCGATGGGATCTGTCTATCGGCTCAAGGTCGCATGAAAGTTCAAGGCCGACCATTTTCTCGCGCGAGGAAAACGAGCGAGTGTACGTGCGACGCGACGTGTGCGTGTTCAACGAGAATTATAAGATCTGAGCTGAACAAGCGTTTATTGCGGAGAGTCGCAATCGGAGAAATCAATGCCATTTAATTGCCGGAAGGTATATAATTTTCGGAAATTTTTCTTGACGTTGTAATTATCTGATAAACAACAATATTTCGTGCACTTTGGTTCGCGGCGATTTTTCGCCGCGTAATTATGCAAGTGAAATTTCGCAAAATGCATGAAGAACTTTTCCATGATTTGCGCGCGACTGTCGAGAAAGAAATAATGGTTTTTGTACATATCTCAGAATAAACAAAAGACAGTTAAATATTCAGTCATTGTGTGATCAAAAGGTGCGGTAAATTTGGATGATAACACAATATTTTATACTATTCTTAAAGGATTAAAGAATTATTCTTAGATATTTTTTTATATTGAGAAAATCAAGATGAACAAGGAATTGATTACAAAATTTATCGATAAAATTAAGATCTATTGTTATAAGATTCCCTGTATATTTCACACGACGTACAAAGGACTTATTCATATCGAGCCATATTGTACATTTTCGACGGATCATGCATTACCTGTCCCGTGTTGCCTCGCAACACTCTATCGCGATGAATCTCGCATCTTCAACATCTCGATCCTTTCGTCAGCATCTCTAAGTCGCACGGAATGCACGATCGATTGTGATACGCGTGATCATCCTCCCCCACGAAACGCTGCGCGCTTTTACGCGATGCTGAGCGTAACAATTGTAGTTGAGGTATCACACACGCTCGATCTAATGGACAACCGAAGGCTACAACGGCCTTAGATCGTAAAGTCTTTACGAGATTTCCTCTTCCTCTTATGCCACAGAGTCACCACTTCTGCTCCGACCCTACCCTCTCGTATAATATCTCATATAATTCATTGTCTCGCTACGTACAATGGGAAAGAGACTTCGTGGTACTTCGCAAGTGGAGAAAGAAGCGCGAGTTATCCTAACTCGCGATTTCAATCCTTTCGAAAGTTGCACGATAATGCATTCTGAAAGATGTTCAACCCGTTGGAATTATATACCTCGCGCGATTATTAGATTGCAATGCTTTACTAAGAGAAAATTAAAGAGAATTTTTTTCGTTAATAGTAAATTTTATAATTAATACACCGTATGATGAGCTTGCACATGTACAGATACATGCTTATTTACATTTAGAATTTTATTTTTTTATTGTATACTGATTAAAATATAAAATATGATGATATCGATCTCTCTTTTGAGATGTAATTAATGGCGATGATAATTCGTTCTTTTTTGCTTTAGACTATAAAAGTCACGATTGATTGATTTCATTTTTATATATTTTGTGTGACTAGGATATTTATTATATCATTCTTGATATTTTCTCTTTAATTGTAGCTCACATTTTGCTCGAGTAAAATGCGTTTTTAGAGCTTGAAAAAGATGTACATTTACGATGGGAGGCATCAGGAAGTCTGCTACCATGAATGATAGTAATGTACGCATGCATGATCTCTCGTAATGACATTCGCAACATCAGTGTGCAAATCTGTTACGTGGTGAAATTCATAAAGAAAAAGAAGGGACATGAACATCGAGAAGGAAAAGAAGAAGAAGAAAAAGAAAAAGAAAAAGAAGGAGCAATGGAACAATGATCAAGACATCGCTTAACTTCTGTTACAGATTGGAACCATATTCTATAGTTCTTATTATTGATATCTATTGACATGTAGCGAGTTTATTCACATTGCTTGTCAAATCATAAAACGGAATCGATTAGCTTTTTTCGATGGATTGATACATTTAAATATGCTCTCTATGTTTAATTCTCTGTATAAAATATTAAAATACTGACATGTGGAACTTACATATTACACTTTCATTTCATGTGAATAAAATGAAAAATAAACATAAAATATAATAAACAAATAAATACTACGGGGCTCGAGCCGCTTGATGCAATCTCTCCTGCCGCCCTGCAGGGGGACCCATTGTTCTTTCTTCGCCTGTTTGAAAAAAAAATGCGGCTTCGTCGCGCTTCACTCAGAGGAAAAGAACTCAAAAGAGTGGCTTTCTATCATATGTTAGGAATTTCTCTTATGTACAAGCTTTATGAGCGAGTGAATCGGGAAGCCCATCATCCACAATAATATAATCGTAATAACACGTGCTGAGAAGCCACCGACGAGTAGCTGCAGCAGGAGGTTGTCATGAACAAGAAGTATTGAGAACAAGAAGACGGCCGGCACCTCGGAGGCAACTCGCGCGAGACCTATTACATATTGGACACGTGTGCTCACTTTTCAAACATAATATCGTATGCCCCGTTGCGTGTTTGTTATCCGTGTCGCGCATCTCGCGTGCTATCTCTATCGATCTCTCGCGATCGCGAATAAGAAAACGAATGAGGGGAAGAAACGGCACAGGATGAACGATCAAATCGCACAGAAGTTTGCGCTGTTCGTCGTTAAAATGATATATATGCAATTTGAACGAAATAAAGTACCGACGAAATGCAAAGATATATCGAGAAAACTTTTGTTTGTTTTAATAATTTGACAAGATTCAAGACTTATTTAACTTTTTTAAGTGCAATTTTGTGCAGGATTGGCGACATTATTTGATATGCCGTTTCATGTTCATCACAATTTTGTATGCGCATCTTCGCGGTTGTAGTATAAGTTTTGTTAGTCGATCTCTTTTTGATTTTTTTTCTGTTTTTCGCTTTGAGTATATAGACATGGAGGGAAAATATTGGCACCGAAAGTGTGTCCAAAGTATGTGCGAGAGAGAAAGATATACGAGTGATACTTGTCTTTTCTGCGCATGCGTCGAAATTGACAGATACTATAGACAAGCAATATATAGTGTGATGTGAAGAATAATAGGTGACAAGAACTGTCATAAATGATATTATATAGGGATGTAATAATGAAACGTTGAATAAATATTAATTATAAGAAAAGAGTACAAGAAAATAATTTTTATTGATGTTTAAAATGAATTAATTTTGTAAACTTACGTCTAATATAATCTTTGTGTATTGAATCGGTAGCGCACTTAGCCTCATGGAATAAACGCAAATTAACGTAAATTACAATTATGCTTTTAATAAGTTGCGTTTTATGATTGTCATCTTGCTGCAAAATGTCATTGCGTTATCATTAAACACTGAATGACAAACATCGTTAAACTTTCATAGTCACAATTGTCTTAACATTTTTTCTAGTGCAAATTATATTATAATTTGATCGAATAACTGCTTCAGAGCATTGTGTTATTTTTATGACATCATCCGAAGGAAAATTAAATTACTTTTGTTTTTGATAGTAATCAATCAAAATTGAGTTCGATTTTGCAGTGACAAAAGTTGCACAAATGTGACAAATATGTCCTTTCTTACAACAAATCCATTGATATTTAAATACGTCGACATATGGACTGTTAATGTTG